GGAAAGAACAAACAAACACATCACATTTATAGGCTTGGCAATGATACACTCCCTAGCACCATGACTGAAAGAGACTTGGGGGTCATGACTCACTACAAGATGGACATGAGTCACCAATGCGATGTTGCAGCCAGCAAGGCAAACAAAACTCTGGCTTCCATCTACCACTGCATCTTGCGCAAGACCCAGGATGTAATCCTCCTGCTGTACTCAGCCTTGGTGAGGCCAAAGCTGGAGTACTGCATCCAATTCTGTGCTTCACAATTCAGAACGGACATGGAGAAGCTTGAAAGAGTCCAGAGGAGAGCCATGCTCATGATCAGAGGGCAAGAGAACAGGCCTTATGAAGAGAAGCTGCGAGCTCTGGGACTCTTCAGTCAGGATAAGCGCAGGCTCAGGGGTGACTTGGTGGCAGCCTATAAGTACATAAGGGGTGTGCATCAGGATGTGGGGGAATGCCTGCTCACCAAAACACCCCAAGGGATGACAACAGTCATAAACACCTGCAAAACCATTTTAGGCTTGACATCAGGACAAACTTCTTTACTGTCCAAGACCCCAAAGCCCGGAATAGACTCCCCGCAAGAGGTGGTGCAAGCACCTACTCTAGACACATTTAAGAAACATTTGGATGCTTATCTTTCTGGCATCCTTTGATCCTAGCTGACTTCTAGCCCTTTGGGCAGGGAGCTGGATCCGATGATCTTACAAGGTCCCTTTCAGTGGTAATGCCTATGAATCTATAGTAGAGCTGAGAAAACTAAGTCACTGAGGTTGAATGATTTGCTTAAGTGCACACAGCAATGTAAAACCCTGGGATGGGACTAAAGTCCTCTGGCTCCTGCTCAAGTTCCACGGATAAGGAGAAATACTTGCAAACCTAGAGAATAGTAATTGTAATCATATTACTTCTTGATAATCCTCTTATCACCAGCAGCAGATCATCACCATCAGCCACAACACTAATAAATGCTGATGTAGTATAAAGTTGTAGTGCATTGTAAGGAGTATTCTGTATGGAATTTGGAGTGTGGGGGAGTGGCAAATGTCCACCTGAATAAAGATATTTCAACTTGTCTTAGAGGCCAATCATGGAAATAGCACAAGGCAAGTGTACTCCATGTTTTTTATCAAAAAAAAAAATAAAAACTTTCTATTCCAGTTATCAGATGCTGAACAGAAGGAATATTCAGTCTAAAAGTTCTTTTGAGGGAAGGGAGAGTTGTTCTTTGTTGGGTTTTTTGGTGTTTTTTTTGTTTGTTTGTTTGTTTGTTTTGTTTGTTTCAATGAAACGTGAGACATTTAAATAAAAAATATTCAGTTAAATGAATTCTATAATTCACACACACACACACACACACACATACACACACAATTTTTTGGGCGGGGGTGGGTTGGGAAATAAAGACTGGCATGTTATGGCAGGGGGGAGAAGAGGAACAGCAAAGTGTGAGACAGCTCAGAAGTTACAATTCCAGAAGATTTATCTTGCCAATGGACTTTTAAAAAGGGAGACAAAGGAGAGTTGAATTGTAGCAAACCCCCCAGTTTTTTGGGGGGGGTTATATTTATTTTAAAATGCATTCCCTCCCCTTTCCCCAACCATTTCTGACGTTTTCTCTCCCTCTCTATTCCCTATAGCTAAGTATAAGTGAGCTCAGACTTAGGATAAGCTTTAAAAAAAATTATTTCGGTAGCAAGCTTTTGGTTTTGGATATCATTGTTTTATATTGTATTATTATTAGGTTTGTATTGATTTTTACTGTT